CGGTACGAGATGCCGCAGTGGCAGTGGTCGCACCACTGGCAGCGGCGCGAGCGGCGGCTCTTCCTCGAGCTGTGCGCCCGCGCGCTCGACCGCTGCGAAGACACCGACGGAACTCTCCGCCCGCGCGTACGTCCATTTCTTGTTTTATCCATTTTTAGACAATTTAACACGCGTAATATGACTACATTTTCCCTTTTTAGTCAAATTGGAAAACTAAATAACAATGAATGTGACGAAATTATATTATAATTACCAGGTGGGAGATGTGAAGAGGCTGGAGCGCGGGTGGCGGTTCATCGTGGAGAACCTGGACCAGCACGCCGAGGTCGAGGAGGAGCTGTTCTTCCCCGCCCTCAAGAAGGTGATCCAGGACGACGAGGGCCAGGCCATCATCGACCACCTCCTCTCCGACCACAAGGACCTTGGTGCGACGATCAGCGCTCCATCCATCTTCCGTGCTCTTCGAATCTAATCTGTGTGTTGTGCAGAGGCCAAGCTGCACAGCATCAAGAAGGAGAAGCTGGAACCGCTTGAAGGAGATGAACGCACCAAGGAGGGCCTTCAGGCATTCACCGACGCCGGTACGCTGTCACGCCGCCGACTGCGCCATTGATCAGTGTATGCTGACAATCCACACGGCATGCGACCAACGACGAGCAGTGGCGGAGCTGTTGGAGGCGTACGGGGAGCACATCAACGAGGAAGAGGAGAAGGTGGTGCCGTTCGTGCAGCGGTTCATGTCGGAGAAGGCGCAGAAGGAGGTGGGCCAGGCGATCAAGAGCCACCATCAGAAGCTCCCCTCGGGCAAGTACGGCCTGCTCATGTTCCGCGACGTGACCGCTGAGATCCCCGAGGAGCTCGCCCTCTTCAACGCCACCTTCCCCTGGATCCTCCGCAAGGTGGTGCCCCTCCTCCAACACTCTCTGTTCATCATTTTTCGGTCTTGTTGTCTTCGTTCGGTCTGAGTTGTGGCCCATCCTTTCTTTCAAACTCACTTCTCACACACCACAACAATCACAGGTCATAATTCCAGTGATGGCAGCAACAGATGGGTTGTACAAGGAGTACAAGACCATCTTCTATGAGCCCTGGCTGTGACCCACAACTCATAATGCAACATTGTTATGCACACTACAAAAGTTGTCAGGAGACAGTGCTCCACCATTTACTTGCAGTCATTTTGTCTGTAGCACTATGCCTGGTTAATTTCTTCAAACAGCAGAGAAATACAGACTGATACAGCCAAGCATCTTGATGGCCCAGGGCTGTGAAAAGTACCATAAAGCAGCTACATGACAAGAACAACAGCTATTGGCAGTAAGTGGCTGACTTGAATACTGGCCATGACTGGTACATTTCACACACCTTTAACCTAAACCACAAGGCCACTAACACCATTTATAGTGGAGCACACTGTGCTGTTGTTCTCTGCCACCACTGCAAACATCAAGCTGGGAGACAGGTCATGCATTCCTTTCTTCTCGCCTCTTGGTCTGCAGATGATAAGGGCTACAGGTGTACTACACCAAATCAAATGATTTTGTGATTCTTGCTGTGTGGAAAAACATTTCCTGAACTTTTCTTTGTCAGAACAAGTTGCCGCACAGTGTTTTTTTAAATCTAGTTTTCTTTTGATTCAACACAGACCAAGATGTCGAGGCATGCGAAGAACAATACGGCGAGCTCGTATTTCACATACGCTGAACGGCAGAAGTTGAAATATGGCACCCAGAAGCAGCGTGTGGGGCGTGATTCCCTCCCAACTTCGACTGGTGCAATCTCACCCTCGCTACCGCCGTGCAGCCTGTCGTCACCGT